ACCCCAACCCCCCCCCCCACAATATACAAGAGTAAGACTTCATTTTAAGCTATTATATATAATCACCTCTTTGTACACTACACAAACACATGCAAACCAGGACAAAAATATTTTTTGAAATCAAATTAATGAATGTTTTAGGGGTTTGCTTTTTAGAATATAAATTGGTATTGTTCTGGTTCTGAGATGGCAAAACCCCTTGCTGAAAGGAGTACTTCTGGGGTCAATGGGAGGGACTTTTGGTTGCAAAGGTCAGGGGTTAGGGAGCCAGACTTCCAGTCACAAGATGGCAACCAGGGGCAGGGCACCTGTCAAGGGGCAGGGATACCCATGTGGCCCTCAACAGCTTGCCCAAATTCAGTAAGCGGCCCTCCGCCCGAAATAATTGCCCACCCCTGGTTTATGTCATAACAGCTGTATGTTCCAGCACAGATGCCTCACCCAACTGCTCCTGCTCTCACACTGTAAATCCAGCATTGGTGAGCTCACTCTACAGTCATCCCTGGTGATTGCTCTGAAACTTGCCAAGGGCCAGGGTCCTGTGAGCAGTTACTGAAGAACTATCTGAGTGGCTTCACATATGAATTTCTGCGCTCAGAGCGCAAGTAGGAGCAGTTGGGTATAGCTAGATATAGTGCTTCCACAATACAGACATACTCTCAGTTCCTTGTTTAGTTACCAAGTCTTTAATCATCACTCAGATTTTAGATGTGGATTTTATATAGACTCTACCAAGGGGTATCCTATATCCATAACAAATGGGTACATTAAAAATTGCTCGTGAGCAATAAATGTTTAATCTAAAAGTGTTCAATCTATAAATATTGTTTACATAAAGAAGGGTCCGCCTTCTCTGTTGTTTATTTTAAATTTAAAAAAAATGAGGGTTACAACAAAGAAACATTCTTTTTGGTTGATTCCAAATAAAAAATGAATTGCTCAGGCGCTACCAACAAGAACTATACATTGTTACCTTTAAAAGCAATAAGTCTTCCAAGTGAGAAAAAAAATAGAAGTTAATAAAATAATAACTAAGGTATAGGCACTTGAATGAAAGGAGATTATGAATGATCTCTTTATAATGTTCACATGTTAGTTTCCAGGCAAAAATGTCAACAGCCTTTCTTAATGGATGATAATTATAAGAACCCACAGTCTAAATGGCTGACCATGATACATGTCAATGTTTTCAACACTCATGTGAAACAAGGATGCCCGTGCAGCCTCAGGCCATAAATAAGTTTATTCTAGGGATTCATTTGTTAGTTCTCATTATTAATATTGGTTGTTTAATCCTAATTTAAAATACTTACATATTATTGACATAGTTGTCTATACCTTAATTTATAATTTAGGTGTAAAGCTCTAAATGATTATTCATGTTTTAACTGATAAATTTAGCCTGACTTCTATTGAAGTCCATTAACTGACTTCAATAAATTTACATCAGAAATGAATTTGGACTGTGGTATTTAATTAGAAAAGAGGCTTTTTATAGATAGGAATCATTATTTCAATTTTTTTTTTTAAACAGATGACAAAAATAAACTGGATGTGGATATGGACTGGTCTGATATATTCAAACAGCATACCCACACTTTTTCAAAAACGAATCCTTTCTGGAATGAACTTTCAGATTCCAACCCATTTGTATCTGACTTAGCTGAGTCAAGTAGCAGTGAGAAGAAAAATAAACACATTTCTATCTTAAAGGAAGACCCCTATTTGTTCTCTCGAGATTCAAGCAATCGGGATTCTTTTGCTTCATCAGGTGACGAGTTAAATATAGATTTTCTTCTACAAAGAACTTCAGCAAGGAGATCGGGGAAATCTAAGAGTATTTCAGACTTTTTGGACATTGTTGATGCCAAAAAATTTGATCCTCCTAAAACAGAACCCTCTGGCCAGATTTTAGCTTTGGATAAGCAGTGGCTTCAGAATAATCGTGATGCCTACAAGATGGCTTGGTTAAGTCACCGACAGCTGGCCCGGTCATGTGTTAATTTAGATGTGATGAGTCATAGTCTAGGATGGGCACAAACACAAGCTACAGATACTCATATAGTCTGTAAGATGAATCATGAAGGGGGTTCAGTGCAACTGCCAAACTCTGATATCACTATTCACATCCCAAAGGGTCATGTATTATCTGGGGACTTCCAAGAGATTGGTTTAAGGGCTATTCTTAGTCCTCCTGCATCACTGAATCATGAACTTTCAAACACTGTGAGTCCACTGTTAGAACTTACATTAAGTAACCTCAACACAATGGAAGCCATTTTACTTGAAATGAAAATTGCAGCCAAAGTGAAGAATGATCCTTTCAGTCAAGTGATGACTGAAATTGTGTGTTTTTACAGTCCCAATAAAGAAGGACCTTTTGAAAAAATAGACAACTGCTACATTTATGAAGACACAATACAAGTGAAGCTGAGAAATCTAAATCATGTGATGTACATGGTGATTGCAGTACAAACAAACAAAATTCAGTCTTCGGCGGGAACCATTTGGAATTATATCCACAGAACTGTCTCGGTTGGACTTTATGGGCCCAAACATATTCATCCTTCTTTCACTGCTGTTTTTACAGTTTTTGGTCATAACTATATTCCAGAAAAACTCACCATTTTTGACATTCAAAAGGGTGGGAAGACCATGCCTCCAGTTGTGTTTCAGCTGTGGGGAAAAAATACATTTTTACTTGATAAGCCACAAGATCTGAATATTTCTTTGACATCCTGTGATCCTGATTTTGAAGTGAAGGTGCAAAATCAAAGCAAAGGAATTAAAGAAGAACAGTTGAAAGCAGGTACAATGGTCCACAGACAATTTCTGTTTTCTGTCCTGGAAATGAAGGAAATATATGCATTTGTTTTCCTTGTTCAGATTAAAATTCCAGACAATACACTAGTGACTGAGTTCCATGTTAGCACTCCTGATCCAGCTCCAAAGTTACCTGGGGTGACCAGTAAGCCAAAGCGGATACAGAAACGTAAAGAGATCAAATCTGCTCCTTTCCTATTCATGTCAACAGTTAAATATCCAAAGTTTCAAGATAAGACTTTGAATATTACCAGCTATGGAGTGACCTTGAAAACGGTTTTACGTCAAAATAAGGTTGACTACTTACTAGAGTATTTTAAAGGGGACACAATTGCACTTCTTGGTGAAGACAGAGTAAAAGCCATGGGGCAGACTAAAATAAAAGAATGGTATGTGGGTGTTCTTAGAAAGAAGATTGGTCTTGTGCATTGCAAAAACATCAAGGTAATTCTGAAGGAACAAGCTATTGACATTACTGAAAGTGTTCTGGCAACCAGGAATCTTCTTGAGCAAATTGCACTGCCTTTTAAGAAACTGACCTACATCTATTCATTAGTCCTATCTACAGTATCAGAGAGAGTTTATAACTGGAGAGCCTTGGCTGATGTACTAGGATATTCACATGTGTCACTGGATGATTTCAATGAGGTACAAGCAGACAAAGAGTCAGAAAGAGTCGCTTACGTGGTGAAGAAATTGAAGGAAGACTGCCATTCAAACAGAAGCAAAAGACAATTCCTTTATGAGCTCGTTATTGTAAGTACTGTTCAATCAAACTCAGTTACTGGTATTTTGTATCAAAGATAAATTAGCACTGTTCAAGAACATTATTTTAAAGTACTTAAATGACCCTCATAAGAATTTTATATTTGTATTTTTAAATATTCATACTTACTAAAATAGTATTCATCTGAAAAAATGTAAACAGATACTGCACATAAATTAAAATAATATTTTTTTTATTTGAACCAAAGAAACTTATGTTACTTGATTCAGCCCACAGAAATTCAAATTTGGAAGAATTCAGGAGTTTTGCTTCTAGGCCATGTTTTTTATGGCAACCCCCCCCCTTAAAAGTAACAGAGGCTGCTTGCAGACGTTAAAAGAAAAAAGTGCTTTACTGGAAGAAGCAGTGAGTTACTTCAACCTCGCTCTGCAGCATCTGTATAGATTGGGGGCTTCAGAGGGGCTTTTTGGTGTTTTTATCTAAAGCTGAGCCAATCAGCTATTAGACAAAAGCACCAAAAAAGCCCCGTTAAAGCACCCAATCTATACAGATGTCAGGCAAGCTAGGTCCAACTAAGGTACTGCCTCTTCTAGGCATGCATGGGGCTCAGCATTGGAGTGCATGGAGTTTAAAGTAAAGCGCCATTATTTGTTGGGTTTTTTTAACATCTGCAAGCAGCCAGAGTTTTTTTGCCACAGAGAAGATGGCATACATATAAAAGTAATTTTCAAGGAACAAGCTATTGACATTACTGAGGATAAAAACTGCTTAACTTGCAACTTTTTATTACCAATCTCTATCATAGATGTAAACTAGTTACCTAGCAGTGACAATTTTACAATTTCAAACTTTATAAACTCGTTACAAACTTCCTTTACCACAATCTAGGTGCTTAACATGAATTTATATTTTTAAAGATAGGAAAGCCTAGACCATCTATTGAAGGCAAGATTTTCTATGTAAAGCTGCACATGCCCATCGTCTTTATAATACATGATGTTCCTTCCTAAGGAAATGCAAATAAATCATTCCAAGTTTTCTTAGAAGTTGAAATTTTCATGGGCGGTATTTCCAAGTTGATGAACAAGTTCCAAACAACTTTATCCAATCAAAATGTCTTCAATTCAGGAAGTGCTGTCCTTAAACTTGTCATGTGAGAAGCTTGAATTAAGTCTCTGCGATCCTCATGTAACTTACTGCTATAAATGTATGTGCCTGTGTCTGGGTCTGTTTGCAGCCCATGGCCATAGGTGGTGGAAGGCCAGGAGTAATGGGGCTTAGTCCCCCCCAAACTAATTTCACAGCCGCCAGCAACAGTGCCACTGCCATGCCCCAACACTGCAGCGCCATGCCCAGTGCCCCTGCTGTGCGCTCCACCGCCAGGCCCCTGCAATGTCCCTGTGGGAGGGAGAGGCAGAGGTCAGGCAGGCACGCCCCACACTGCCCAACCTTCCCAAATAATATTTTCTCCCACCACTTATGCCATGGGCTGCCAGTAGGGTGGCCATCATAGAGGACATTCTGGTTTTCTGCTACTCTGTCCTCTATTGATATGAAACCCAATGCCTTTAATGTCCTTCGAGAGAAATATAGAGGACATAAAGGCCTCCGGTTTAGTATGAATAGAAGACAGAGGACAACTGGACTGTCTTCTATGATGGCCACCCTAGCTACCAGTTGGAAAGCCCTGCTGCAGAGAATTGTCTCTTTTTTACAAGGCCTTTTATCCACTCCCTTGTTGCAGACGTGCCTACATTTAGTCTTACTATAGCCCATTCCCTTTTAAATGCCTGTGTTTAAAAGCAAATCATACACATGCTGACAACACCCAGACATATCAACTACAATAGTCTACTTGCAAACTGTTTTAGAGTCGCATAAAATGAGTGAGTCTTGAATTCAGTTATACTGCTTTTTATTAAAAACAATAAAGGTAAACTAAAGAACCTTTCAAGTGGAGACAGGATTCTGTAGATCTCATTACAATACAGGGAAAATGTAGAGGTGCCAGGATAATATATTAGAGGATTAACAAGACATCCTGTCTGTAAAGGGTGCACAACTTCCAGCTATGAAATGCAGATCTGGCTTACACTGACTTTATAGAAGTCATAGATACTAATATAATATAATCTGTGCCACTTATAGAAAAGCCTTTCTGAAGTTTAAAATTAAATTATCACCATGGCCTTGAGAGACATATTTCAGTGCTGCCCAAGAAAGCATATTTTAAAAATCCATTTATAGCTTGAACAATTTCTTGGATGCACAGCCAAAAAGTATGTTGGTCAGGCACACTGGGCCAAACTTAGCTTTCCATTGCATTGACTTCCAAGGTGTTTACTCTGGAATGGCACCAGTTAGAGTCTGTATTAAATTTATTGTGAAGGACTTAGGAACTTCAGACAAAATGTGTCATATTAGGCAAAGAGAACCCAAAAAACATGGCAGAATTATCAGTTTTGTTATGTACAGAAAGAGAGCAGTCAGATGTGGGTCGACCACCAGCTCCTTATGAAATAGTATTTTGCAGTAGCTGTCACTACAGCTATACATAAAATTATTTAATAGACAAGACATGAGGGGGCACTGATATGATCCTTTTTTCTAATAATATTTGGATTCACTGTCCTGAATGCCCTGTGTAAAGTGGGAGGGAATGCTACTACAGCCGGAGAATAATGTAGCTATTATGGAACAGATATGATGATTCTGAAAGTTATGGATGATGTGGTGGTAGGAGAAAAAAGGAGGATTCTGTGTCTAGATGCAAAAAGGAAGTCTTTTTCTAATGTCTTTCTTCTGGGTATTCAGGCCATTTACATGCAACTTGAGAAGGCCCCTTCTCTATCTCATTCAGTAAGAAACATCAAAATGTATTTATAGAGGCAGGAATATTAAGTTCCTTGTGGAGCAAGCAAGTTTCCTAATGGAGTTTTATTTAGTAATAGGAAGTCCAGTCTCGAAATTTTTACTTAGGCTATACTCCCAATGACTTTCGTAGAAATAAGGACATACAGACAAGAAGCATCATTGGTCTGAATCAAATCTATAACTATTAACAAGCAACCTTTAGAGGCCAGATTTCATTACATCCATCAGCTATCTAAGTGGACTTAGGTACCTAACTGCAATTCTATTTCTGTTCAAGTCCCTGCAAAATCATCAATGCATCTACTCTTGTATCACATCATTGTCAGATGTGTCACAAAAAAGACTGTCACAAAAAAAGTACAGAGGAGGAGGAGAACCCACCAACCTTTTTTCCATTAAGTATTTTACAGGGACTCAAGTCAGGTAGAGTAGGATTGCATTTAGGCACAAAAATCAACTTATGTTCCTAATAGGTGGAATAGAATCTGGCCCTAAATGGATTAATTGAGCACATAAACACGTTCTACAAATTATGGCCCTACAAATGACATCACAGTAGACAAGAGGAGGCTGACTCCAATTTCCTCCAAAGGCCACCCTTTGAAGAAGGGCAATTTTAGCTTGTGGTCTGGGTTCCTTAAGAGCCCTACTGTTAAAACGTGCTTACTGGTTGCAAAGAGTCTGTATAACCTGTATCTGATCAGTATTGATCACTTTGGAGGCTGCATTGGTCCTACTCACAACAATGGGGTGGTTGCTGGTATCTGGTGCTGCCACCATTCTCATATTCAAGGAGGACCTACCATCACTATCTCCCTGTGCCCTGATATGTGCTAATGACAAACTAACTACCATATTTACTTGCATACCAAACACACCTTTCCCTAAAAAAAAAAAACTAGCTTCCCAAAATTGGGTTGCACCTCTTTAGCAGGGAAGCTGATTTTCTACCCAGAATAGAAGCACGGAGAAATTTGTTTTCCTACCTCCAGCATTTACACAGAGGGAGAA